AAAAAAAAAAAAAAAAAAAAAAAAAAAAGGAATTACAATAAAAGCAAAGCTTAACTATAAAGATGCTAAAGGTGTGTTTCATTAGTGAATATTACAATGATGAAATATTCATATTATGTTGTTAAAATTTGTGGTATTTTAAAATTACAAGAAAATAAATCAAATATAATCGTTAGGCTTTGAAATCATAGATAAACAAGTCATCCATAAAAGATGGAGTTACAACATGGTTCTAAGTTTAACCATAAAATGTTAAATTTTTGGAAGGCATAGGGAATAGATATTCAGGGAAGTTGAAGTTAAGATTAGACCAAAAGATTTTCCTCACATCAGACATTGTTATGCAATTAATTTTTTAACTATATATATATGCACACACATTTTAGGTCATTAGAACAAATGTCTTACAAAATGTAGAAAAAAAACTAACAGCAAGCATACACAGACTTCAAAACTCTATGTTAATAACTTAGCACCCCAAAAGTTTAAATCCAGACTAAACAATTCTGCACCCTAAATGCCGACTTCCTTAGTCCAGACTAAACAACACACCTCAAACACAGATTGTTTAACTCCATAAACAGACCCACAAATTAAATAACTCCAAACTTCATAAATCAACTCATCACCCCAAACACCCCTAAATGAAAAATCTAGTTAAAGCATTGTAAAAGACTCATCGATTTTACGCATTAGAGAAGCTATAAGAGTATGATAAAATATTAAAATCAATGCCATACTAAAAATTCACACCTGACAGAGATTGTCGTGCAGAATTTGGACGCCTCTGTTGGGCCAAAGCAAGCACAATCGCCTCCTCCACCTTTGCTTTACAAGGCAAGCTTAAACTTAATTTAAACAGTAATAGCAATGACAAAATGAAAACGATATCGAAGAACATAATTTAGCGAATAAAAGAAAACAGAAGAAAACAGAAACTTATACTTTGATGATTGAAGTCCCCGAGGTACCCCCACCCAAAAAAAAGGAGAAAGAGAGTAGTATATTAGAAAGAAACCTTCAATGAAGCAAGTTCTTTCAATCCCATTTCAACAGATAGCATACTTTCAATATTTCCTTCTCCAGTTAGATCACTTATATCAGGAACAAGTGTGCTCCTTTTCTCAGTGTCCAGGTCTCCTGGTGCTGTAAATGGCACTATGGGATGGGATGACATGATATTGATTTAGATGATGCACCCACCAAAAAAAAAGTGAGCCAATAGTTGTGGGTGGGCAATGGCAGGAAGATCAATAAATAACTTGCAATCACCAAAAAGGAACTTGCCTTTTTGAGAAAATTCCTCCTTAGCCTTTTGCCCTGCAGAAATGACAATCTCAAATGGGAGCGGAGCTAATGATGACCAGTGTTCGTACTTTGTCACAGCAATATCTAAACAAATGCCTGAAAAGCAAGAAAATAGATACGGTAAAAAGAAAGATTAATGAGATGTAAGGAACTATCGGTCACCAAATAGAGATCAAAAAGAAAAAACAAGTAAAAAGGTTCGCACATACAGGGAGGCTGATGTTCTACAATAGTTCAAAACAAGATAGCGGTTTAAGGAAAATTTTCCAACTGATTAAAAATTTTCAGGATATTTATATTACCAACAACGGGATGATATAATGCCAAAAAATGAGCAACATGGCATTTGGGTTAGGTTCAACTAGCATATGAAAAAGAAAAAACTATGTAGAATTCAAAGTAGTTGAAAGAGGCGTGTCCTCTGATTTACCATATTTTGCTGCTAGGCCCCAGTAGCGAGCAAGCCAACACCTTTTAAGAACTACTTCTTCCTGAAATAAGAAATGTAAATCATTCTCTAATGCAAACTGACATGAAAGTCTACTTCAAGTAAAGCAAGTACGAACCATCTCTTTCTGAGTCAAAATCATTCTTTTCGTCATAGATCGTAGAGCCTTGACATCATGTTCAACTCCATGGAGTTGTTGAACAACATTCGCAGTCTCTTCTTTGGATTTCTAATTCAAGTTAGAAATAAGAGACGAAAGGCAACGGTTATGGGTAGCATTATTTTAAATCTGTAAAAAATAATTATATTTAATATTATGGACGCCATAAGATGCAAGGAATATAACCTGAACTTCAGATTTAAGGGATTCAATTTCATTATCCCCACCATCCTTTGATTGTTTTGCTTCTTTAAGTGCAGCCTGTAAAAATGAAAGTACCATCAGAAATAATGCTTTTTTTTTTTGCTGTTTCATGCATAGGAACCAATAGTCATATATTTACAATACCTTCCATCATTTTTCAAACAATTTCCTAGCAATCATAAACCATTTGATCAGTAAAATCTAACAAGGCAGCTTTGAAAAAAACGTCAGTGTCCTAGCAATCTTACTGCAATAAATACTTCGATGATAGTCTCTTTTCATTTTTGTCAAAGACAAGTTTGGTTTCTTGTTCAAAAAAGTATATATATTTCTATGGTTAGAGCTAAGCTTCCCTAGGTACTTGGTCATAAGTCATACACATCCGATGCAGTAAATACCTCTCTCTGACGTAATGCCGCTTCTTTCCTGCATTATTAATAGCATGGGATGTTATATCATACAGACATCAAGAGAGAAAATAAGCCAAGGAAATTCAGTTAAACTTGCATTGACCTGCTCAAAAGTTTAGCTTCTAAAGAAACACCTTCTCCCAGAGCAGCAACCTGATAACTTAGAAACACATCAGTCCCATGTATTTGTCACCGTGGAACAAAAGTGGAATTAAACTTTCAGATAAAAATCGGATCATTAAAGCAAACGGTAAAGACAAAAGTAAGTAATTCAGCATGGAAAACTTCTTCCATTAAGACCTTTGCTAAGGCTCTAATGCTCACAAGCTGACTGTGACATCTAACCTATCAGGTAAAGCAACTTCACACAAGCTCACACTTTGTTGAACCTCAAAGAAGTCCATAGTTCTTTTTTCCTCTTTCATCCATTTAGTTCTTTCGTTTCGGTTCATTCACTTATCTAAAACTTAGCACTTGTTTATTTCCAGGGGCAACGCAGTTCTTGAATGAAGTTGAGATGAACCAAATTATCACTTCTGATAACCAACTGGGTGGAAGTCTCCAGCAGATCTTAGCACCTTTTAACACCTCAATGCTTTACTCATTTTCTTACGCATACCATCCTCTAAGCTTCTTATCTGTATTCAAATCCTTATACTCCTTTTATATTGTCACCACATGACAGTATATTAACAATTTCTCATTTCCTTTTCTTTCTTAACTGTTGACTACACTAACTTTCTCATTTGCTTTCTTTCTTTAAGAATTGCTATACTTGATGCTGTTAAACAGATCCAAAATTGCATTAGATATTCAAATTGCTGCTGAGAAAAGATTTTCCATAACAAAGTAAATTACACACACAACTAGTGGAAATCATATTGTAATGATCTATCCATTACCTGCTTCTCAAGTTCCCTAACTCTTGTCTGTGCATCTTTACATCTCGTTTCCTCAAGTCTGAGCTGTAAACAATACCCAAATACATATTTAAGCACAAAAGGTATTTGAAAAAATGCTCAAACCCAGTGAAAGAGAAAGAATTGAAAAATCAAATCACCTTCCCAAGAATGTTCTCGTTCTCCTCTTGTAGAATATCAAGCTACAGAACAGAGAATTTACAACTTTTAAGTACTTGGAGACTGGAAAAAGGGCAATGTAACGGACATACTGCTTTACAGTCACACAGCAATTATATGATTCAGACATATGAAACAATAATGCGATGGACGTACTTCATCACGAAGGGCAGAAGCTTCTTGCCGATCTTCTGAATCTTTAGTATTAAAATGCAACGTATCTGATGAGAATCTGCAGTATACCATTAACAATTCACCAATTTCTTGATCAGATGCATGATCTTATATTCTATACTACAATAATTATTATATACAGGGTTATCCCATTCTCGTCAGCTGATACCAGGAATGGACAAAATATTGGAAAATGTATGTTACATACACATCCATAGATGTGGCAGCCATCAATATGAAAGGGTAAGCCAGATATTTAAAGTTTCTAACAGTACAGTCGTCTTCTCTTAATCATAACCCAAATTGACAAATCCTTGACTTGAACAGGACAAGCAAACTAGTCAACAGTTTCAGTAACTATCAAGGAAGATTTCAAGTAACAACCAAAAAGAAACAACATTCCTTGTCCTATATATTGAGGAAACTAGACAAATCTTACAAGACCAATTATTTTTACAGAAACAAACAATATAAAACCGAAAAGAGAACATATGTCAGATCTGCAAAAGATAGAACACGGTGTTAAAACCAGATAAGTAACTTGCATTGTATGCATACGGTCCAAACCACAAATTTGAATTTCTAATGTATGTTATAGTCCAAAAAGATTTACCTTTTTTCTCTTTGCTTATTAGTAGGCGGATCTAGAGGTGGCATAGAAGTTGCCGTCCTCAGTGTTGTTTTGGGTGGAGCCACTGGCAGTGAAATATGAGATATCGATGTTCTTCCTGCGGAAGTGGAACGAACTGAAGGAGTTTCCTCTAAAAAGTTCCGGGTTAACTAATTAGAAAATGAAAAGAGGAAATTCGATTAATCGTCTGTAATCAGTGTGGTCTTATTCTTAAAAAAAAAAAAAAAAAAAAAAAAAAAAAAGATTAAAGAAAAGAGAAAAAAAAGCTATTACATTTCTAGAACAAATGGGAAACACCGAACGAGCATTTATTAGGATGACCTGATAATTTAACGCAAACATGCATTCATTCTTAAACGGAATGATCCGTGAATCTCAATTTCGTGAAATGAAAATCCAAAAAGGCAAATACAAAGTAACTCAGAACAGATCTTAATCACCATTTACGTTGACATACCTAATTCTAGCAAAATTCAGTCAGAAACGGAGGGCNAAGGCAATGTGCAAGGAAGCCAAAAAAAAAAAAAAAAAAAAAAAAAAAAAAAAAAAAAAAAAAAAAAAAAAAAGTAGAAAAACAAAAGTAGACAGCTTCATCTCTATAACTCAATCAGAATCGAGCATAATGCATTTTGACTTACTCCAGGGGAGGGAGATCTGGTGGTTTTTCCAGTAGGAACAGCAAGTCTGCTCCCATTATTAACATTCCTGGACAATGAAATGGGAGGGGGAGCACCATAACGAAATCCTAGGTCATCCTGATCATCCTCATCGTCATCGGCGGTCTGAGAAGCCATAACCTGCGCTAGCCGCTGGGCCGCGGCTTTTGCAGCGAAGTTCTGAGTGCGCTTAATGTTGGAAGTTCCAGAAACGGAGGAGGATCGCACGTGATGGCCGCGCGCCGGCGACATTGCCGGTGATGCGGGGCCGCCAGTGCTGCCTGATTCGCTGCTCCATTGGCGAGCATAAATCGGGCTCTCAGTCCGTTTCACATCCATCTACAGTAGTAGCAGCAGCAGCTTGGTGCACGAGATCAGAGAAGCACAAATAGATACTAAGAGACGCTAAGAAGAAATGGGAGTTCTTGGAGTTGACGTAATTTGGGAGTAAAGAATCGCAAGAGAAACGGAGGCAACGCAGTTTTTGGATGCGGGATGTTGCTTTGGAAAAGAGGAAGAAGACAGCCGCCGCAGATTTTCTTTTTTTCTTTATTCGTAAATTAATACTAATAAATATGATAACTAAAGAAAACACCTTTAAATTATGGGGGTTGAATAATACTCTTTTTTTTTTTTTTTTTTTTTTTCAATTCTAGTTTTCGTATATATTTAAGAGATGCGTTATGCGAAAAAAATTAGTCTCTAGTTGTTGAATAATAGTACGTCATAAATAATGAAGATTAAGAAAACTAAAATAATACTTTTATAGTAACCTAAATACTTTATCATATAAAATAAAAAAATAATTTTATTGATTTTCTTAGATAAGCAAATTACTGTTTGTAGCCTGTGTTTAAAATAAATAAAAGATTCTGATAACCAAGGATTTGTACCTACCTTTTTTTCATAAATTAGTTGTTGTTAAAGCAAATTGAAAGGAAGCATAAAAACTTTTTTATTAAGTTTAATTAAAAGCCATGTTTAACATAAATATAGAAAATATCCCTTTGAGAAGTTTGAAGAGTAGGTATGTGAAGTAGAAGTAATGTAGTTTCCCTTTTAAGTGCATTGGTGGGTTAAGCTTGAAAAAGTACGTAAAAGTGAAGGATGTGTCGCATATAATCTTACAATTAATATAACCTACCTCATTCACTAATTGAATTCCAGACATGGAAAATAATATCATCTTCCAGCCTCAAACCACGATCACCCATCCCAAGCCTGGAATATTCAACCCACTCTCCTTAGCTCTACCACCCACTCTCCTTAGCTCTACCACCCACTCTCCTTCGGTTCACCCATCAAATAACAAGCTTGCTTGCTTCATACGTAACAACATAAACCCCCTTTATGTATGGTCTCAAACAAGGCCACATGCTCAAGTCTACTCAGCTGGGAGCTCTATGCTCGTTTACCCACCGCCTCATATATTGTTGTTTTTACTAATTCCTACTTTCTTGGAGTTCAGCTGATACGGGATACTCAATCCATGCACCTTCCCCAACGGAACTATATTTCCGATCTCCTTTGTGGTGCGAATGAGTCACTAATTGTATGAAAAGAAATTAATAATTTTAGCTTACATGCAAACCGGGAGCTTGATAACATAGTTTAAAGCATTCACAATTCTCAATCAACCTCGCTAATGCTTTATTGTTGCAAATTTTGTATTTATATTCATTCCCGGCTTTCCTTTCGTCTTCTAAACAAGTTCTAAAAAGACAAAAGCTTGTTAAGAACAAGATGAAATTGTCATCAAAGCTTGCTTATCCTTCACACAAAAAATGAAAAAAAAAAAAAAAAAA